GGATGGCTGTGGAGCTAATGCCACAGAGCGCTGATAGATTTTTAAAATTATATTAAAATATGTCTATTATAATACAGTTCACTAGCATTAAGTGCATTTGTACTGCGCATTCACCTGCTGGGTTTTGTTTGTTTGTATTTTCTAGGATCTGTAGAATGTTTAGCAAGAAACTTGGCCCCTACCAAGCTTTAGTAGCAGTCAATTCCTTCTATCATCACCCCCTTCCTGACCTCCATCCCACCAGTCCTAAAGTGCTGCAGAAATTTCCATGACGGTTCTCTTGTACATGTGGGAATGAGAGGTTGAGATCCTCTAAGTGACTCAGGATGTATCAGTGAATGGCTCTCTGCCTTAGTTTCTCCAGGTGTAAACTGGAGAACACAACAGCACCTACCTAAGCGTTGTTGTAAAGGAGTTAACCTGTGTGAAGCCCTTAGAACACCTCTAGCTATTTCCAATGCCAGATCAATGCTAGTGGTAGCTTTTATTTTCTTCCTGTCCCTGACCCTGTCCTTGTCCCTGGAAGAGCTTGCTGGCCTGGGCACGGTGGAGCTGGAGGCCAGCTCTGGATCGGCTGGCTGCCCACCTGGGCTCCTTCCCGCCTCAGCAGTGTGTTCGGGAATGGCAGAACAATAGCGAGCAGGAGGAGGCGGGGAGCCTTTGGGAGCCCACAGGGTTTTTGTTCCATAAAAAGCCTCAAATCAGGCTGCCATCGTGGCCTCAGTATTTTGGTGCCTTTTCAGCTTCTATTTAGAGTGCAGAGTTGGCGTGGGAATGTTTTCCTTTATTTCAAGCCTTAAGTAGTTGTTTGGTAACAGCTGTTTTTATAGATACTCTTTGAGGCACTGAGATATTGCTGGAAAAACAAATTCCTTGAGTTTAAAGCAGTCTTACTGTTTTCTTTGCCTGGTTTTATTTTTCTGTGTGCCTTTGTTCATGCTGTCACTGGCTGCCTGGATTCTTTCTCTCCCCACTCTTGCTCTTTTGCTCCTGGGGAGATCATCCCACCCCCGCTGCACCTCAGACAGGCACCTTTCCCCGATTTCCTCAGTTACAGTGAATCCAGCAGGGTTTCACAGCTGTCTCTGCCAGGAGGGCTGGGTCCTTCTGAGGAAGTCACTCTTAGCTTTTGTGTGGGTTGGGAGAGACTGTTCTGCTCATGATTGCCTTCTCATTGTCAGCAGGGGGAGACCAGAGAACCCTTCCTTGCCAAATCAGCATGCACACATCCTACCCGTGGAGCAACCCTAACGGGGGTCCCATTACCAGAATGATCAGATGGGGCATGAAGACCCACATCTCGGTCTCCTGCCCAGTAAAACCCAGGCAGCAACTTGGTTAAGGCTCTCCTGGCTCATTCCTGCTCAGGTTTGATTTCTGGACTTCCCTTTACCTTTGTAACCCGACACTCTTCATAACATTTATTTTGTTTTGATGTGAATCAGCCCTGGTTTACCTGGACCAACCAATAATTCTTACTAGTACAATGCCATGAATGTAGTGGGAATTCCAGAGGTGTCTGTATACTTCAGAGGCTCAAGTCTCATGTTTATTCATGCCTGTTCAGTACTCTGGTGTCCTTTCTGGTGTGAGCAGTCAGATTTTTGCATCTTGTGAACCACCTGTCAGCATTCCCAGGCCATGGGCCTCCTTCAGAATTGACTCCAATCAGGCTGCAGGGTGGGTATGTTTGGTAAAAGCCTGGCATCTCTCCACCCACTGTGATTGGTTTAAGGACAGGCATGTGACCACAGGTGGGCCAATGGGATTCAGCCTAAGAATTTTGCTGGGCCTGCTGCGATAGAGGTGCGTTGCTCTGGCTAGGGTTGCTAAGCTTTTGGTAGCATGACAGTGGGGCTCCGGAGGTCCTCAGGAGGACCACTGAGCTGAGGCAAAGCTGAGAGAGGAGGAGAAGGGCTCGATGACATTGCCTGAGGACCTGGACTGCAGCAGGCCTAGTTACCTAATGTGTGGGATGTGGTTACTGTGTACTGAGAGCTGCACTCAGCATTTTTCGTGTTGTTTTAGTTTCCCAGGACTTCCATAGCAAACGCTTCACTGATTGGATGACTTAAAAACACAGAAACTTAGAGTTTTGTAAGTCTGATGGCCTGGGAGTCCATAGTCCGGCTGTGGGCGGGGCTATGCTCCCCAGTATGGTGGAGCTGTGTCCTCCCTTCTCTCAGTTTATATGTTGGGGTCCTAACACTTGATGTGACATCTGGGAACACAATCTATGTGGGAACCATGGAGGTTAAATGAGGCTGAAGAGGTAGGTGCTTATCTGATAGGATCAGTGTCCTGATGGGGAGATATCCAAGGGTCTCCTCTCCCCACTTACAAAAACACAGCTATCACTAAACCAGGAAGACAGCTGTGGCCAGAAATCGAACTTTAATCTCTAGAGTGGTGAGAAAACATGTTTCTGTGGTTCTAGGTGCACAGTATTTTGTTTCTGCTGGCTGAACAGACAGACAGATTCCCTCTAACACCTGTGGGCTGGAGTCCTTCCTTATCTCTTCTGGGTTCTGGGAGCCCCAAGTGCTCCTCGTATTCTCAAAGAACTATAATGAGAAATTCCATTGACCGGGCTTGTCCCCTGCTAGATACCTTCCCCAGAGAACTAAAGACACCCTGCCACAGTGGTCCATGCTCACCAGTGTTCTGTTCATAGCAGGACAATTCATAAGAACTAAATCCTGGAAGCAGCCTGTATGCCCATCAGGAGACAAATGGATGCAGGAAATGCAGTATCTATGTACCACAGACTGCTACTCAGCTGTAAATATTTGTAGGAAAATGAACAAACCTGGAAAATACAATAGTAAGTGAAATAAAGCAGAAAAACAAACTTAAACACTGTATAATGTCTCTCACTCGAGTAAGGCAAAGTACAAAGAGACAAATGAAGAGGTAGAAGAAAATGGGGACACATTTTTTGCAAATGAGGAGGGGTCCAGGAGACCAAAGGTGTGAGTAAGGGAGGGGAGGAGGGGATGTGAAAAGGTCTAGGATGTGTTGGGTACCTGTACTAAAAACCCACATTACATATCCTAAACCTGAAGTAAAAATGATGCCAATGACAATAAGAATGAGAATGTGGAAGAGGAATGAAAGAGAATCAGGCTGTGTTGTGTTTCTGCACTGACTCCCTAAGATGGGTGTAAACTTTATGTACTGCAAACGGTACTAACCAAGTCAAACCATAAGAGCAAAAAGCCGCTATGGCGGTTGGCACACGACTCTGCCTCTATCTCACTTGCTGTTCTCTCCTCCCTCAAATGTCTCTCTGTCTCTTTTTGTGGAGAACTTAGTCATAAGGGATTAAAGACGCCACTCTTCTCTACTCTGACCGGTTTTAACTAACTGCATTCATAAACATCCTACTTTGAAGCAAGGTGTGGTGGCCACACCTGTAATCCCAGCATCTGGGAGGCTGAGGCAGGAGGATCCTTGTGAATTTGAGATCAGTCTCAGTGATAAAAGTGAGCTCAAGGTCAGCCTGAACTCGAGAGCTGCACAGTGAGACCTTGTCTCAAAAAGATGAAAAAAAAAATCCTACTTCCAAATAAGACTGCATCTCTAGGCACTGGGGGTAAGGGCATTGATGTAATCTTTGGAGGGAAGTAGAGAATTCAACTCATGTGTTAAGTCAATTCTCTCAAGGAAACCAGAAAGTAGGTGTGATTATCTCGCACCTTTACCCAGCTGGCAAAGAGATTAAGCCCCATTGAAGTTAATTCTTTCAAGGCCTGACCGTGGAGTGGAAGTCAGGAAATTTGACTGTGAAGCCAGGATCCCACCTGTTCCCTAATTTGCCTGTGTCTGCCTGCAGTGGAGCCACTCTGGAGACTGCACTCAGGCCCGTCCCCCTCTTCCCTCTGCCTGTCCTCTCCACATCAATACTCTACTTTCCCCTGGGGCAGGAAGCAGCCAAACAGCAGATCAATACAGGATGAATCGTGGTTTATAGATCGCCATTTTCTTAGGGGCTTTTAGCTTTGGAATGGGTCGTTAGCTCCAATGACTGTGGAGGCGCCTGGCAGGAGTTCAGGTTTGCACTAAGAGAAGGCCAGGGAGGATGGCAGACCTCATGGGGTGGAGGGCCGCCGTGGGCAGGGGCATCTTTCTGCATTCCTTTAACAACTCCAGATAGGCAAGTTGGGCACCAGCTGTGTTCTGAGCTCCTGTTGGAGTAGACCTAATATTCTTCCTTGCTGCAGGACCGAGTGTCGGGAGAGCTTTAGTCTTGTGCCTATACTTCCATTCCTGCAAAGTTTTGTCTTTTCCAAGTAAAATCTCTTCCCCATGGAGTTCCCTCTGCCCTGTACCAACTTCTTGCACCTCCCATGAACTCAGACATGATTCAGATGCCCATGCAGAGGGCCTTCTTAGCGGACTCTTCTCAGAATGGTTTATCCCCAGCCAACATCCACTGAGACAGTGAGGAGCATTTATATACGAATAGATGGAGTTAGGTCCGAATTTTCTGGCAAGTTCTGGATTCACAGAGGCAAGAAGTCAGACTGAGTCCTCCTGTTGACTGAAGGTGGTTTGGTGAACTGGTAAACTTTGGAGTCAGGGGGTTTGGGATGAAACTCCCACTGTGATGGGCCTCCGGAGGATGATCCAGCCCTGAGTGCGCAGCCATAATGGATCACACCATGCTGCAGGGTCACCGTGAGGGTAACGATGGACTGATTGGAAGGACCTTAATTCAAGTCCAACAATTTTATGTGCTCAAAAAATGGTGTTGTTTTCCCCTTCATACTTATGTCTCCATGGAAGCGAGACACCTTGGACACCGCAGTGCTCCACTGGGGTGTACGTTCCATTTATCCTGACACAAAGTGTCGGGGTGAGGGTGCCCCAGGAGCCGGGCTCTATCGCACAGGAGTCCCAGGACTGGGCCTGTATTTCCCCGGGGCTGAGTGAGCCTGTGGTTTCTTGGAGACCTGCTAGTGCTATTTTGATCGCTATAAGTTCCTCCTGTTTTGCGGAACGTGGATTGCGACTGGAATTCAGGGAGCAGCGCTTGCTTCTCTGTCTGGAGCTTTTCTGCCCCATTTGTTTGTCTACATGACAGGTAAATGGTACTGGGAAACCTGGCTGTATGTAGGATTATAGATATTTTGTGAGAAAAGGCAGGAAGAATGGGGAAGCTTCCTCCAAGCTCAGAGTGGGGCCTTGTGGTTTGAGAGCTTGGGGTGTCATCAAAGGGGGTTGCTTCTGGGTGTGACATTTGCTAGCTGGCTAACGATACTTGGGGGGAAATGACTAAATCTCCTGTCGACTCACTTCCCCCCTCATCTACTCACTTACACGTTCATGAAGCCTCACTGAGTCCCAGGTGCCGTCCTGGGCTCCACAGAGACAAGGATAGAGGAAGACACAGAAATCCCTGTCTCCGTCGAGCTCCAGGTCTCATGCTGCTAAAATAACCACAGGAAGTGTTTGTGTAGGAGGTGACTCTGAGGCAGGGTGTCCAGGGCCTGAGTCAGTAAGAAGCCAGCATTTGAGTAGAATCCAGAGAAAAGAGGGAGCACCAGATGTCTGTTATCAGGGAGACAAGAGTTCCAGGCAGAGGGGGCACCGCCAGCACGAGGGATTCTTAGCGGAATGGCAGGCATCCAGGCCAGCCAAGCAGTCAGAGGGGAAAGTGTGGGTGCTGGGTCAGCGGTGCCCTGGTGCGCGTGATGGGGACCTTGGCTCAGTGCCCGCTGCAGATTGTGCAGCAGAGAGAGACAAGACTGGGCTTTGTTTAACATGATCCTTTGGCTTTGGCTGGAACCCAGGCCTTTGTCGAACATGATCCTATTCCTGTGAGGAATCGGCGGCAGGAGGTCAGGGCAGAAGCAGGAAGACAGGCGAGGAAGCTATTGTCCTGGGGAGGGTGGTGGTGGTGACGGCTTGGCTTGCAGAAGGGACCTGGGAATGGGACAGTGAGCAGACACCAAAGGAACGCTGGGTGCGTCCCAAGGTCTGGGGGGGAGGGGGGTGGGAGGAGACGCCCCTGAGAGAGTTTTCAGGTGGAGCAGACGGGAGCCAATGATGACTCTGGTCTGGTGTGTTTGACCTGAGCCCCTGGAAGGCTGATTCATGAGCATCTTTTAGGGGGAACCTCAGGGAACCGGTAATGCGTGTGTGAAGTCAGACATCTGTCAGACTCGCCTGTGGAGATATGGAGTAGGTGACGAGTGTAAGAATCTGGGCTGCAGGGAACACGGCTGAGCTCAATCCACGCATCTGGGAGTTACAGGTAGCTGAGAGCATGGAAGCCAGGAAAGCAGAGGGACTGAATCCCAGGACCCAACTCCGATTAGAGGTTCTGAACCTCTGGAGGGGCCGGAAAAGCAGATTGAGAAAGAAGGGCTGGGAAAAGAGGAGGAAAAGAGGAGAGCGTGACACCTCAGAGACCAAACAAAGAAACTGAGCGCAGAAGGCCTTGCCTATGTTAGATGTCAGTGAGATGTGGAGGAGACCAGGGCTGAGGACCGATCATGGGTGTTAGCCATGGAGAGGCCATGTGTGACCTCGATGAAGCCTTTGATAGAAATCTACTTGGAATGGATTCAAGAGAGAAGACTGTCCCTGGAGGGGGCAGTGGGAAGAGAGACTTTGGACATAATGTGCTTAGATGACTCTTCCAATGAATTATTCTGTAAAGAGAAGAAAATGAATGAACACGAGAGGACTCTCAAGGGAGAGAGAACATATTTGTATTCTGATGTGGGTCATCTAGTAGAGAGGAGGATGTGGAAGAGGTGAGAAGAGGGGACATTGGAAGAGGAGGACCTTGCATAGGAAATGGGGCAGCACCCAGTGCACAGGAGGGGAGCTGATCTTGTACAGGGATGGTAGAAAGCGGGGCTGGACCCGGCAGGTGTGGAGATGTGGTGCAGGAAAGCAATAGATGTTCTTTTGAACTTTGCTGATGAAGTTAAAAAAAAATCAAATTTATTAACTGTGGGTGAAGCTGGAGCAACTGTTGGAGGTTTACAGAGCAAAGAGCCAGGGTGACCTTGGTGTCTGGGGAGTGGACAGCCTGGAAAGGAACAGTTTCTGAACAGCACCTGGGCCTGGGGGAGTGAGAGGAGGAAGTGAGACCACCTGGGCGTGGTTTTCTTATTGGCTGAACGGGTGCCTTTGCACAGGGGCTGGCTAGATGGATCAGCTTAGAACAATGATTTAGCCTGGTGAAAGTAACACGGGGAGAGAGGGCCAGGGAGCCAGGGGGTGTGTGGGGACTGCAGCCATTGTTGTCCATGGAGTTTGACCTGAGGAGGAGGAGACCTGGATATGAGGGGTGGAGGGAAGCTGGGCAAATGACCAGACTGAGGGCCCGGTGCAGCCGGGGAGGGTGAGACTTGGATGTAGTCAAAGGGTAACATTTGAATTTGCCGTCATGCAGGGGTGGCGATTATTATGGATGCTTAAGGCCTAACAGGTAGACAAGAGTAGAACAGAACTGGACAAGAATCATGGGCAGAGGATGTTAAACTATGGGGGCCCAGAACACGAGCAGGAATTCCTGTGGGAAAGTCAGCCTCTAAGACTGTGCTAAGAGTGGTGTCAGCTCCAAGGATGAGGACGGCAGTCCTGGGGCCAATGGCTTTAAGAACTCAGTGGGCAGTGCCTTAGCTTTGGAGGGGGTGGAATAAGCCAGGGTAGTGAGCAAGGTGAGTGGGGGATGCAGTTTGATGAGGTGAGATTTAAGCCTCTATGTTTTTGGTGAGGAAGGAGAAAATATGGTCTTAAATCACCATGGTAGCAGTTCCAGTGTGGTGGGAAGGGGGAGCAGAGAAGATAGGGTTCCAGCTGACAGTGTCCACTAGGAAGAGGCTGGACTCAGAGCAGGCGCAAAGGGAATGTTTTTGGAAGAGCTGGGGGACCCAGGGAAGTGTACCCATCTGGGACCCTGAGTTCCAGAGCTGCAAACTGGCTTGAGGAGGGGAGAAGGATGGAGAATGAATTCATGAGATAGGACGGAGCGGTCCAGGCACTGGAATCAGAGATCAGCCAGGTGTGGTGGGCGTCAGGAGGTGACAGATGCTGACAGAGATAAAGGCCACTGTAAGATGCTTTGAGTGGTCCCAAGGCAAGACTGGGAGGGAAATTGAATGCTGGAGAAAGGAAGTGATAAAATGGTTCTTTCAGACCTGATGGTTCAAACTTCTCCCTTCTCAGAGCCTAGCAAGTTGGATTGGGTGGCCACCAGTGACCCCTGTGCTGACCCAGCATGTGACTTCAGTGAGCTGATGCAGCGGTGGACTATCTCTGAGCTGGATTTTCCGAGATGGACTCCTTCCTTTTCACCGATTTCCCCGTGGCATTGTGCTCTGCAGCACAGTGGGTGACAGCAGCCAGGAGAGCCTGGGTCCAGACAGCTTTGCAGCCCTCCCCATTTCCCTCCTGCTGAGCAAGTCCATGCAAACAATTTCACGTTTAAGCCTTTAAAGTTGCTTTAAAAAAATCATTTTGATGAAAAGTGTGCAATTTTAAGCTGTTGAATAACAAATAATCCTGTGATTTATGACACTCAATTTACATAAATTTCAGCAGCTTTTAATACATGACGATTCCTTCAAACTCTCTGTTTCCTTGGATTCTGTTAAATCTATACTTCTTGGGTTTTATTAGATTCCAAAACACTCCTTGCCTGCCTTGCTTTTCTGGCTTACCCTGAGCTACTCAATCATAGTGTTGGAATTCCTTAAGGTTTGCTCTTAACCCCTTAAACCTTCTCATTTAAAAAACAAAACATATTCTATATTCCCACACATCAAGACCTCATTGATGACACTGATAAATCAGTGACTATGAAACACTCACCTGCAGCTAGACCTCTCTGAGCTCCAGAGGCGAGTGTCTGCGGCCACCTCCTCCTGGGAATGCTGAAGATACTTTAGTTTCAATCCAGCTAGAGACTCTCCTGTCGTCTTTCCCTCGCACCAGGACATCGTCAGGTGGCTGGGACTTCAGAAACCCGTGAAGCTCCTTGCCTCTCTCCTGCTCCTTATTCTCCATGCCCGGTCTGTCCTCATGATGTGTCACTTCTGTTTGCTAAGTGGACCTTACCTTCCTTCATGCCGTGCCACTTCCTCACTTGCCACCCCAAGTCCTTTGTCCAATGGCAATCTGCAAACCAAGTTTCCTGGGATCTGTTCTGATTCTCCTCCACATTCCTTCCCAACACCAATGGCAAGAGTCTCACTTAGAGCCTTTGTGGACGTTATCCCACGGGTCCTTGTGTTGCCGATGCATCAAACCCAGCCGGAAAATCCTTTCCCTTGGTGCCTGCTCAGGGTCTCCCTGAGGCCCAGAGGGCACCACCTGGCTCCTCAGCCCCCTTCAGCCTCTTCCTCTCCCCTTCAGCTGCACTCCTCATTGCGCCCTGGATCGTACCGCACCTTCTCCTACCACTGGGCATCTACACACACCCGGCCCCCTCCGTAGGTTCCTCTCCGATCCTTTTCTTTCACTTTCTGGATCTTAGCTCAAACTTCTCTGATAATTATTTCCTGAATACCTAGCCTACATTTTCCCAGACTAAATCAGTTTTACAATCCTTGGCACTGTGTAAGTTTATTGCATATAGAATAATTCACAATTATATTTATTTTGGTAAAGATTTCATCATTTTCTGTGTTTGCCACTAGGTCAAGTGCTTCACAGAGACAAACACAACGTCCGTGTTTAGCTGAACACTGTGCCTGGATTTGAACCAGTGACTGACTCAAACTAACCACCCAGTAATATTTACTGAGCATAGAAGTGGAAGAGTGGCTTCTGCTGACTGAGCACTCACTATGTGCTAAGCACTTTGTAAATATCTACCCCTCATAGAAACCTTCTAAAATGGCCATTACATTTTTCTTTGTAAGTGAGGAAACAAGCTTACAATGGCACCTGTCTGAGCTCCCCCGGTTGGTTGGCTAGAATCCAGTTCCATTTGGGCACAAAACCTGTATTGCCAGACCCCTGTGTCCTCTTGCTGGTCAAGGTCCATGTTCCCTGAGGAGGAGATGTCCCCTTGTCCCTGTGAGCCGTAAGCCCTTCCACTCTGCTGTTTGCCTCTTCCTTTCTTTCTTCTCCGCTAGCTAGCAGAAGTTACCATGTCAGCACCAACTCCGCAGGATGGTTGTGAAAACCTCATGAACCCTGGGTTTTGGAGGCCCTCGCCCCTATGCATTGTGGCGTGGCCATCCCACATGACGCTTGCAGGGAATTCCTTCCATTTTACCCTCCACCTCCCTGGCTACCTTTTCAGCATGTTCATGTCTTCCGCGCATCTGCACTGTTGAGAACACCCAATGCAACTTCTGCACGAAGATTCTGGGGTGAAGAAGAAGGGTAGGCAAAATTTGCGTCATGTTATCTTAGCGAGAGGGAGGAGACTTTGAGGTTAGAGTCCAGTGCTGATCTGGCTTTTCCGACAGCAGCCACACAGAGCTTCCTTTTGGAGAGGGGCTGCTGCCTTGCTTTGCAAGCTGATGGCTTGGGATGAGATTGGCCACTTCCCCGCTCTGAGGCGCTCACCATCCGCACCCTGTGCCTTGCATCCTCTTCTTGTCTGTGGGTTAGGGATGCTCAGCTTGGTGCAGCAGGAGGACCACTGCTGGGCTGTGTCTAGGGATTACCCTGTATCCTGACAGGGGCTCTGCGTGAGGTGCTAGGGTCTTGCGTGTGCTCAGCGTGCCGGGCTGTGTACCTGCTGCAGGTGAGAGTGTGCAGGTGAGGAGATTCCTGCTTCTAATCGCACAGGGGCCCAGGGAGGCGAGTACAGGCCTCGATCACCGCCTTTCCTGACAGCCTCACACATTCAGTGTGTGCATGTGTGTGAGCATTTGTAGAATGGCTTTATCATTAGTTTTGAAAATCCTGATCTATTGCTTTGATGCCTCCTTCTTCCAAGAGTGATCTGGCCCTTTCAGCCTGTCAGATGTAGCTCACCAGGATGACTCCTCATGGGGTCTGCGTTTGCCTTCTTTGCCCCTACCTTCTCCCCTCCATGCTTCTCTTTCTCCTTCTGTGGCTTTCAGGTCATGCTATATTACCATCATGGGAGGTGCAGTCTCTCTCTCTCTCTCTCTGTCTTTCTCTGTTTTTCTGTCTCTGCCTCCCACTTATGGTTTTCTATCCTGATTCTCCACTCTCATTCAGAGTATTTCATAAGCATTTTGTGGTAGATATTGTTGCTCACTGTAAGCTGCTCTTTGTGCAAGCCTTAGATTGTAGAAATTGTATAGTGCTATAAATATCATTTTGATTTTTTTCACTTGGTGCAATGTTTCCAAGATACAGCTATTTAAAATTTTATGTTGCTTTATTCCCTTGCCCATTCTCTTTGGCTTTCCTGTTTTCTAGCTTATCAACACGAGGCACAACTGAAGCGTCCCTTCACGCTGAAGTTTCTCCTCCTTCCGGTGTAAGGCTCCCCCTTCTGGGCGTCCAACGCGTTTGTTCATTATTCTATTGCGGTGTTATTTTGCAATGAATAAAATCCATTTATCTGTTTGTGTTGAGCTCTATGAAGGAAACACACATATGTATGCCCATCTCATGTGCATATACACATCTGCCTGTATGCATACATGTATGTAATTCTAGCACTTGGCCTGTCTTAGAAATCTCACAAGTGAGCATTGAATGAATGAATAATAATTATAATAGCAAAAATTTACTGAGTTCAAACTTCGTGAAACTCTCTCGCCCTCATTTGGGTCTCACAATAACCCTGTGACTCAGGCATCATCATTGCTGTTTTGCAGAGAGGGAAACTGAGACGCAGTGTATCCAAGCAACTTCAAAGGTCATGAAACTCTTGCACAAGCTATTTATGCAGCAAGTGCCAAAGCTGGAACTCACTGGGAGGCGGCTGGCACCCATGCCTGGCACCAGTGCCCAGCATGCTAAGGCTTCCTGCGTGGCAAGTGGATGGTGTCCAGGACTCCCAGTGCCCAGCCTATTCTGCTTTCTGTGCACGGTGTGCACTCGGCTTGTTCTTCTTCTTATCAGGGACCTGCTAGGTTCTTCCATGGTTACTTGTCTCATCTTGTCATCCAAAGTCTTGTAGACAGGCATCATTACTGCAGAGAAGGTCCATGGGGAATATGGTAAATTTCTTGGCAGTGAGCTCACACAGCCCAGTGCAGAGTGGAGCTCTGTAAGAATGTCTGGCTGAGCCTGCTTCTCTGTGCTTCACTTCGTTCCCTGGGTCTCTGCTCCTGGTACCTGGATTCTGCAGATTCTGGGGGAACCTAGGGGCATCTGGTAGAAAGGAAGGGGTCCCTTATGCAGGGTCCCAGGAGTGTTCTAGCATGCTCTACAACACTCACCATGATCTCTTGCCTTGCTGGAGTCCCTCTCCAAAGGCCTGTTTCTCCGCCATCCTTTCCTCACCCAGGAGTCTGGGTGTACCCCAACTCAGATCAGCACTGGGAGAGATAGAAGGCTTATTGACTACCTGAGAAATCAGGTGGCAGAGAATCTTTTCCACAAGATGTGACCTGCAGAGGATGTGAATTGGGGTGTAACAGGTTTATAACATGGAAATAGCACAGTTAGCTCCCGGACCAACCTATTCCCCACTCTCCCTCTGAACTCATTTCCACCAGACTCTAAGCGCAAGCTATGCGAGGGCAGGGACCTTGCTCAGGCTTCTGTCAATTTGCTGAATGAGCTCCAGCTCTAGCAATTCTTTCTGTTCCCTGCAGCCAGTTTATGTAACATTGTCTGCTGATTGCAACCAGAGAGGCATCCTAATTGATAAACTCCCTTGGAAGATACTATTAATCATTTATGACACTCTTTCCAAGTGAACCTTGGTGCAGATTTAGAATCCTTTTTAACTCCATGTGCCAGGCAGACATTAGCAGCCATTAGGATGAGAAGGCTAGTGGGCACGGAGGCCTGTTTCTCACCCAGCACTCAGGGAGGCCGAGCCAGGAGGATCAAAAGTTTGAGTTAGACTATGCAATTTATTAACTTAGGGAAACCCTGTCTTGGAAAGAGAGAGAAGAGAGAGAGAAGCAGGTAAGATGGAACTATATATCTAGACTCTATATTAGTCTTAAATTATCAAGTCTGTAACAAATTAGCACAAATACAGTCACTCTGAACAATATTGATGCATCTCACAGCTCCTCTGGGCCGGGTGTGGATTAAGTGTTTTGCTCAGAGACCCACAAGACTACAGTGAAGATACTCATTTCAGACCTCTGGTTCTTACTGGAGCTCCCGTAGCTTCTGGGAGAATTCCTCCCTTTGCAGCTGTGGGACCAGGTCTTGGGTTTGTTCCACAGCACAGTTGGCTAGTCTTCCTTACCCCACGGCTGTTCCTTTTGGAATGACTCAGGTGTCTGTCATTTTAAGAAGTAGTCAGTCCCTCTTTGAAGGCTTTCATCTGATGAAGTTGGAAAATCTTGCTTTTAGCTCAGAGTCCACTAATCTGAAACTGCAATTACCTCTGCGAAAATAACTTTGCTTTTGCAACCTGGGAATATCCCCTCATGGGTTGCAGAGTTTGTGAACCCTGAAGGTTAGGGTCTTGGAGATACCAGTGCAAACTTCTGTCTACCACAGCATGA